ACTCAAGTTACTCCCACTCCATCTTGTGAAAGTGGGTGCAAACAGCCCTCATTGGCACCAGCAGTGAGTAGGAGGAGGATGGAGCAACAGCAGCAGCAGCCAGAGGAGGAAAGATGCAGTCTGCAAGGCTTGTTATCAGCTTTAATTCTGGGGCATTAATTTTTGCCTTCCCACCTCTCAGCAGTTACTCCCACTAGTTCCTATTACCAACCCCTACCACAGTCCCCATGTCACCAAAACCCACCAGGCGTTAGAGGAGTAGGCAGCGGATGGGATTTTGCTGGGACCTCCAAATCTGCTAAAGATTGCTTAAGCAATTCTGGTTTTGCCTCAGTTACCCAAGGGTAGGGATGATAGCAGTGATCTTTCTCCAGCTTTCCCAGACAGGCAGTCTCTGTGTATCTGTACCATGTTTTCTCTAGCAGGCTATCAACTCTCCTTGGTGTCCTTTACACCCCATTCTCGTTCTGCACTACTACCGGAGACTCCTTTTGCAACCAAAGGAAGTACATAATTAAAAGGTGCAATACAGTAGCCTCGAGTAGGCATATGGAATCAGTCTGCTCTGAGTTACACCCTAAAGCTGCCTGTTTCTCTTCTCCACGCGAGGAAGAATTTGTTGGTTTCAAAGCAGTAACTTTTCATCAAAGAGCACAAACAAGCTGTCTGGAGGAGTGGAGATAGCCCTGGCCTGGGCAGGAGTCTGGCAGAGAGGACAGGAGCACAGAGTTGTGGGCAGTCATCCCAGGAGCACTGCCTGCAAAGTATTAAGTGATTCTGCACTGGAGGACGCAATGCCAGGTCCCAAACTGTTCCAGGCCAGCACAAGCACAACCTTCCCAAAGCCAAGATAGAATAGGCAAGTTTGGCCATAGTACTCTTCCTTTTTTTTTTTTTTTTTTTTTTTTTTCTTTTGACAGAAGTAATTTATGCCAAATTACTCAAAAAAAATCTCCACTGTCCCCAAAAACATTCATGCTACAATTCCTCTCAAGCTCATGTTTTTCACTCCTTTTCTCCACAGAAATATCCCAGGTCAATCCTTGGTGTGTAGTTCCTAAGAGAAAGCAAACACCTGTTTGAGCCTTTCTGTGTGTGCGTTGAAAAGATAATTTTATGTCATATTTCCACTGATTGTGGCTGTACTGGCTTCACTGAGTTCCAATCACGTGAGCAAGTCCAAGGTGCTCCAAAGGAGCACGTGCAAGTGCAGGGGAAGGATAGGGAAGAAAGAAAACTGAAGGTGGGATCCAGGTACAGGCACAGAGCATGGCATAAGGCAGGACTAGTTAGTCCTTAAACTTAGTTAGTCTGCCCTTTCCCTGCCACACAGCATCTGGCAAGGCATTCAGGAGATAGCTCAAAACCCACTCATAGGCCTTTACAGATGGGACAGAGCAGGAGAAGGAAGGCCACTGACCAGGCCTTCAAGGCGAACTGATAGTGCCTTTGATACGGAAAGCTTCTGGATCCATACACACCTTAGTTTTCCTACAGCAAAGTTAAATACTCCCAGATGAAAGAATACTTCCCAAGATGCCCAACATCCCAAACCAGAAACCAGCCCAATACTTCATATTACAAGCACTGCTCCCCTTATTTGCTCCAGATCAACTTCAAACTCCTTGCCTTTCTTGTAGCTTACCTCTCACTGCTCCATACACCCAGATGACATTGACATGGAGGTAACTCCATCATCCTACATAGTCCCAAACCCTGCATCAACACTTCTTACCACATTAAATACAAATGGGTCCATTGTGGAAAAGCCCAGCTGTTTGGGTCTGAGGTGATTTTAAAAGAATAGTGAAGATCTTTGCAAAAGGTGTGGGAGAGGGCAGTTCAGCTTTTCCCCCACCACTGTCTCCCTTTGGAAACAAGAAACTAATCAGCAGGCAAGGAAAGCCCTGCAGAGGATGGAGCAAGCATCTTCAGAGTCCTCCAAGGGTCCTTCCAGATACAATTGCTCTATTTCAAGCTTTACTTCCAAACTACGAAGCCCACCTTCCTGTCTCTTGCTTTCTGCCACAACTGCCAGCAATATGTCCCCCCCCTCTCTATGCCTTCACTTTTCAACACCACCTCGGCTTCCATGTTAACTCTCACCTCTGATAGCTCCTTCCATTTCCCTTCATCTTTAAATCCTTCCAGTGTACCAGTGCTGTGATACCAGCCCTTTCCAGAAGATACCACAGTCTTAACATGGTATTCACACATATCCTCTCTTCCCTAACATGACTTGGGTACTGCTAAACATACACATTCTTCTTTAAGAAGACAGCAGCTGATGAGGACGAGGGTCTTACACATCCTCAGAGGCTATCACTGCTTGCATTTACAGCTTGCATGAGTGTTATTTTGGGGCAGCAGGAGAACCCAACACTAACACCAACTGTATTTTTTGACTTTCAGGTTGTCAGTACTGCAACAGGCAGCACAAACACACTCAGTAAACCAGCACTTTCAAACAGCTCAAGCTACCTACAGTCTTAGACAAAACAATCTACAGCTGTTTCTGCCCTTCAGCCACCCTTTTGCAGACACCCAGTTCCTGCTCATACACCTCCAAAGGACAGGCCTTGCCTCTTGCTTCTGCAGCCATTTTCCCAGTCAGGCCTGTCTGCTGACCAAAGTCACCCCTCAGGTCACCCGATAGTCCTGTTAATAGTTCATAGGCAAGTGGCTTCTCATTATCCAAGAGTATTTTCACGTGAAAGGAGTTCAAAGTTCGGTGTCTCTGCTCTGTAATCTCATTACCCTCTGAAATCTGAGTCCACATTGACAAAGAGAGGTAACAGCAAGAAGGTAGCAAAGGTCTGGATTCAGCGTTTCTAAGTAAGTTTAACACTGATGTGAGCAGGGAGCACAATAGGATCAAAGTAAAACAAACAACTATGGAAAGCCAGGTAATTTCAACAGGGCAGCTACCTCTGCTCTGCCAGGGACATATTTACCTGCAGTAGGTAACTCTTGTGAACTTTCTACTTAAACTTCTCTACTTCATGTCTGTCCCTTCTCTCATTAGTGAGGAGGTTATAGTTTCTCTTTAAGATAGGTAGATAATCAGAACAAGAAATAGGCAAAGATTGCTAGGAAAAAAGATTATGTCTCCTTATCCAGGATTATTTTTACGTCTTCTTTCCTGCCCAGAGTCCTTGGCATGACAGTAAAAAACAGTGAAGCAAACCCTACACACCTGTATTTGCCAATTCCAGGCATGTGACAGCATGTGGGTGCAGCAGCAGCAATGCCAGCCCAGCCATGATGTTTAACTACTACCTCCGTTCACATCCTAGCTGCATTTATGAATATTTGGAGACCCTCAGTTTAGATTTAACAGGTTTTCTTGAAGGCATGTATTTTTGGGAAGGCAAAGAATGACAGTCAGGTTGCCCCACAAGGGCCAGAAAACACGAGGACCAAAATCTTCCCAGTTGAATGCCTATTTCCAACACACACAAAAGTATGCAAGAAAAGTAAGATTTATCCAGACTGGTATAGCTAAATATACATTAAGCATAGTAAATACTTAGAAAAGTTTATAAAATGCAGGATGTACAAACCAATCCCTTACAAGAGAAGCCAGCTTTCATCAGTCACTGCTAGATCATTGACAAGATGTTTTGTGTTCTGCCTGTGATCTACACTGTGAAGACGCTTCATTAGCAGGTTAACCCTGTGCAGACAGCATCCTCCCTGCTACGCTTCTCACTGTGTGGGGCTGACCCACACCAACCACGTACTCAGTCACACAGTCACTATCTCAGAGAGTATCCTCACCAAGGACTATAGATACTGCATTGTTCCCTACACAGACAAAGAGAATAAAGCCAGTCCCATATCCCCTGGTTTTCAATCAGTGCTTTTTTCTAGGAAGCAAAATCATGAAAGAGCAGCTTCTGAAATCTGAAGAGAAATGAAGTAGTGGGCCCTTGGGTAACAGAGTGAAATTCATCTTCAAACCTTTCTTTACTTTGGGAAGCTGTGCTACACCGAGAAAGATCCAAGAGCACTCAGACGCTGGAGTCTGAGAGCAGCATGCACAGTATCTCCATTTAGAGATGGAGGAAGGAGTAGCTGAAGAATTACAAACCAGTGAGCCTGGCTTGCGTGCCCAAGCAAGCTCAAGAAAAAAATTATGAGGGTATTGAGGATTTCTAAAGTGTAAGTTTTTCAAAACTATCTATTTTCCTTTCTGGCAGAACATTTAACATAATGGATAGGCAATTTTGCAAATAATTTGGTATTTTTTTATTAAATAAGGTATCTGCACACACTTCTATATTTTTTCTTTTTTTAATTAAAGGTTAGGACACTTGACTTGCCTCCAAATATCCTACCTTCACTTTCCTCTCCAGATGGGGCAAACAGGAAATCTTGCATAATTGTCAACATCCCTTATACCAGTTTGGCATTGACATGGTGCCAAAGGAGCATTTAACACCTTTGCTCTTAAAACACCCCAGCAGCTTAATTGCGATTGGAATTATGACTAGGAAAAAAACAACAGCCCAGTTGTTGAGCAAACATTAGAATGAATTGAACGTTTTATTTCTCAATCAAGTTGTCTTTGTGCCGCTCTATGGAATCAACTTGTTCCCAGAACAAGGTCGGAGTGAAGCAGAGCAATGGGCCAAGAGCGTTTGTTCTATTTTACCAATGATTTGGCCAAGTAGCACAGAAGCAAAGAAATCAGCCCGGCTTGGCTCTTTCAAAACCATGCTATGTAGAACCCCTGGCCAGGAGAAGGATTCTTGGTTCTGGAGAAAACACTCAATTCTAGGGGGAATCTGCATACAGCACCACAGAAACTGTGTGACATTTCTGTGTGGCTAACCATTTTTTCTGCTCTTTCACTTGTGGGCCATTGTGGGAAACTGTCCTCATGAGGCACTGAGTACTTACTTCCTGGTGTCTGAGGACTAACTTAAGGCTTTCAATAGCAGTGGTGGAAAGGCCAAATACCTCAGAGAAAGACACCAAAACACCAAAGAACATACTTTGGGGAAGTCCCACAGCACAGGAGCAATTAAGGTCATCACTTACTTAAAATGTTTATTAACATCTGCCTTATCATAGCTGGTACATCACTGTAACATGAAAAGACAAACCATGAGTCAGATTCTGCTACAGGAACCACCCAGTCTTGAAAATCCAGAGCTTGTCAATCAGAAAGTTCAACAAAAAACTAAGCTTGAGCTTGAAGAGGTCTATGGGAAGTCACAAAAGCTATCCAGGTGTAGCACCAGCTAACTTTATCTCTCTAACCTATTGCATCAAGACACAGGCCCACAGGAGAAGGAATGTCTTCAAGTCCAAACAGGAATGCTCTCACATGTGGATTTAGAAATCCTCATACAGATAAATTCTGCAGTTCATTGGACTTCTTGTCAGAGTTACTACAAGATGCAAGCACTTCTTCTTTGTTATATAACATCAGTGTTCAAGCAGCATAGAAATTCTGTGGGATCCCTTTCACACCCAGGCCTGTTATCTGTTTGAAAAAAATAAAGAAACAGAAAAGTCTCCAACTGAGTACAATGAAAACCTTCAACTGTTTTACAACAAATACCGTAACAACCTACTCCTACGTGAATGTTCTCCTGGTTCAATAGAAGACTAAAGAGATTAAATGGAGTTCTTTAGAGCTCATTAAGGTCTTTAACATAATCAAGCACCACTCAATAATTTTGCTAATTTGCACATTGTTTGCTGCCCTTACATATGGTATTTATGTCCATAGTAACCAAACGAGTCATAGTAACTTCTAAGGTGCTTTGCCCATGGAAGACATCTGAGTTTGGAAAATACCAGTTCCCTTCTAGAACTGGAGAACTGAGGAGGAGATAAAAAGAGACAAGGCTCATTTAATTATCCTGGGGTCCTAAACTCTGCTTCTTGAGAAATCTAGTAGTTCTCAGCCATGCAAAATCTGTTCCAAGCACTGCTTTAAACCAGAAAGTCCCAGATTTGAGACTAGATCTCCATTTCTCCTGGAACATCTTTTCATGCTATAGCCAAACTGGCTGCAGTCAGCTTTCAGGGAATAATGGCAGTTGATGATTAAGAACTGCGTTTTACATTCCTGATGTACTTTTTGCTAAATATTTTGCTAAATGAAGAGAAAACCAAGTTTCAGATTTAAGAGCAAAAATGGACAAAAATGTGTATTATTAGTTTCTCAAAACGTAGCAACCATTTTAAACATATTAAAAAAAAAATAATAATCTCCAAAGTTTTGGGATTGGGATGCAGAATTTTGACCTTGTGAATGTAACCATTAAATGTTTAAAGGTGCAATCTGTGCTGTAAGCATTACATTTAGATTTCCTGGCACAATTAAAACCTGAGAATTAGGGAAGTGAAATTTCCAGAACTGATGAAAATAAAGTAAGACATAGGAGCAAGTCCCAGTTCCTTACAGTGTATTACAGACTATGCTATACAGGGCAGATTCAGATCCACTAGCTGCCTTCAGATCCCAACCAGATACCAACTTTGGCTTAGCAACATTCCAATCTTCCTTCCAAATGCATGAGCGGCTGTGCAAAAGCAGCTGTACCCAGCTACAGGACAAGCAACACATCTGGACCAGCAAATGAGGTGAGCAGGATGAGCAAAGGCACTCGGGACACCTCACCCTGCTTGGCAGGTCTGAGATACAGAAAGAAGATCTGCTGACCTTGAAAATCTCTCCCGCATGAGGTTCCTTGGCTAAGGTGGTCTTGTCCAATCCATCATACGCAGAAGTCACGTACATTTCTGAGTAGTCTTTTCCACCAAAGCAGCAAGAAGTGATCCTCGGAGTAGGCAGCCTCACAGTTTGGATTCTTTTTCCTGGGAAAATGGGCATTTGTTTACTTATGCCATATAAATATTAATGCATACATAGCACAGATGTGGCATTCACTCAAAAGGAATCTCCTCTTCAGACAGAGGCCATATCCTAAAGGATAGCTTGTTGGGAAATCAAATTCTTTCATCTGCCTCATCTCTAACTATTTTTCACTCTCTTCCCTATATCTGTGAGGCTTTGTTTCCTTTCCTCATAATGAAGTAATACACTATGTAAAGCCAGGAAGAGCAGAGACACCTGGCCTGGCATGGTTGTCATTCCCTAACAGAGTTTCCCAGCTAAACATTTCAACGCTGAATTCTTTCTTTTAATTAAATTTAATTAAGTTTTAAATTACATATAATTAAGAATTGCAGGTGTATAATATTTCTCACAATAGATATGCAATGCATTTTTTAATTTTCTTTTAGTGTGCTATTAAGAAGTGGGTGTGCTACATCAGGAGGTTCCTTGTGGGAGCAAGGGTACTTGACACTGGGAGGCAGCACAGGGAGCTGTGCTCTCCATGTGATCAGGGTCTGGACCAGTGATGCTCATGGTATCACATGGAGCAGAAACAGGCAATAGATAACACCTTCTTGTCCCACCTTCAAACCATTCTTCCTTGCTCTTGTATTCGTGGCACATATGTGACGCTTGATTCACACGTACTGATGGATGCCTTACCTGTCTCTGGGTCTATACGAATGACTCTCCCTCCATCAATACAGGCCACCCAGAGCTTTCCTTCTGCATCTATGCACATCCCATCGGGCATTTGCTCCTCCTTTTCTAGGTGGTACAAAAGTCTGGGGCAGGCTGCAGGGAGAGTTACAAAGCCAGTGTTACATGGGGTCCTACCAGTTCTGTATCAGATCCCAGTCTAACATCTTCCAAGCTCTTGCAAACAGGTAAGTTCATTTTCCGTGAGGAAGATGTGCTGCAAAATGTATATCATATATGCATTTAGCAAATGTGTTAGAAGCCTAACTTAGCCTGGCAGAAACAAGTGCCCAGTAGAACCACTGCAGTTTGGAATTGTACTGGATTAACGCTCCTATTTTACCAAGGGAAGAGAACAAAATACCACTGTCCTTCTTGTTAACCTACTAGCTGCCCACCATAACACCACTGCTTCAAGTGCAAGAACTTTTCCTGGTCTTTCCTTTCTCACAGCAGCCCGGATGTCTTATGAGCAACACATCACGTAAATAATGACTTAGGTTTAAATGTTGGTGATAAGCATTCTCTGTCAGCTAAAGATGAAGAACCTTACCTTTTAATGGCCAGCCAAGCTACCAGTTTTGGTTAAGCCTGGACAACAACTGCTAATGGTGTAGGCTGCAGTGAAGATGGGTTGGTGGGCCCATGGAACAGTGCCCATAGGCAGCAGTCTGCCTGCTCTGATCCAGTGCCTTATGGCATTTACATTACCCAAAACCAGACAGCTGTTGACTTAAAGCCAAGGCTAGGAAGTTCAAATTCATTACATTTGTGTATTGGGGTGGAGAGTGTGGGGGAAAGGAAGTCACATTACATCTTCTTTAGAAATCTTGTATCATAAAATCTGTAGAGATAGATTTTCTCTGCAAAATGAGATCTGAGAGAATGTAATTATTTTGTATGATTTTCACCCATGATTACACAAAGTCCCCACTCATCAGAGCACAAAGGTAGCTCCACAATTTAAACTCCCGTGAAGTACAACTGGTTGATACAGCGCAAAAATATTTCACCAAGTTTTCAAATGAGGTTACCTCGATTTTGCTTGCACTTGAATTTTCATTTTTGCAGATGTAATCATAGAATGTTTTGGGTTGGAAAGGAAATTTAAAGACCACCTGGCTCCAGCTCCCTGCCACAGACAAGGCCACATTCCACTAGACCAGGTTGCTCCAAGCCCCAACCAGCCTGGCCTTGAGCACTGCCAGGGATAGGGCAACCACAGCTTCTCTGGGCAGCCTGTGACAGGGCCTCATCCCCCTCACAGGGAAGAATTCTTCCTTCCATCTAACTCAAATCTCCCCTGTTTAAGCTTGAACTCATTACCCCTTGTCCTATCACTACAGTCCGGAATCAAATAATATTTGTCCAGAAAATTAATCAAATGAAATTCACCAAACATCTGAGGGCAATTTTCATTTCAGAATTTGGAAACTTCAGTCACAATGATAACTTGATTCTTTAAACACAATCCTGTGATACACATACACATACACATACATTCCGTATTTGTATTTGTGGAACTAGTACAATCAAAGTATTCCAGTAGATGGCACTGAAGAATAAACAGCTTCCTATAAGCTAATTCTCACTCTGCAGTATAAATGGCTTTTTCCCTGCAGCTCCTTGAAAGGGTCTAAATATGATCCATCTACCCAGATGAAAGTAAGTTGAAGGAGTGCCAAAAGTGTGTTCAACAAATACACCTGGTGTGTAACTAAATTTGACAAAAGTCACGGTCAGCCTGCTGACAAGCTGTACCCAGGAGCTATGAGATCTGTCAAACAAATCACCTTACACACCCAGGTCTTCCTGCAGGAAGAGTGATAGCGCTATTTGTCACTGAAATTAGGAAAGCACTTGTACCAATCTTTCCAGTGTGCACATCGTAGCTGAAGGCATGCACAGCGTATGCCAGGCTGTCAATGTGAAAGAAGGTCCTGTGGTCCAGGGACCAGTCCAGACCATTGGAGATGTCCACCTGGTCTAACTGTTTTATTACTGAGTGGCTGGGGAAAAGGGTATAGAGAGCTCCTTGCTGCTTTGCTCGGACCCCTGGTGCTGTCTCTTCAGCCATTGTACCTGAAATGGAAATGTGAGTGACAGTTAGAAAGCAGAAGCTTATTTTTCCTCAGGCTTGATCAAAAACCTCCTGTAACTGTTAGTGAGAGGTCCTAGGGAGAAAGGGTCTGCCCAGGTCCCATCAGACTGGTGAGAAGGATTAAAAGGTGCAGGTCAGGAGCAGCTGCCTCCCATGGAGGTCATTCTGGCCAACAAAAGGACGAGTTTCTGCATTGCCATGAGGTTTAAGTCATACACACCAAAGACTCAAAGGAGCACCACAACACATCAGATGCTGAGGTTGCTCACAGCAAAATCCAAGAGGCAGGCAAGCATCAGGTGCTCTTTTTGTTGGTTCTCTTTGTAGACTGATTTTGTCATTTAAATGGGCTGTGACCTTAAAATACAGGTGCTGTAAATCATGGTGGTCTCAGAAGCAAGTGGAGAATACTACAGAAGTGAGATTTTTTTTCCTTAATGGATTTATGTCTCAGTGTTGTGCTTGTTATTTAGTTTCTGATTCTCTCCAGAAAGGAAAGAGCTCTGTATCAATGGGATGGGAAGCACTCAAGGGGGAAATTCATGCCTTCTTTTAACTGTGACAGACTGTTTCTGTTGGCTTCCCCTTTTAGAAGACTTCATGAGCTTGTTTTACAACATTTGGCCAAAGCCCCTGTAAAAGCACTGATCCACCATGCACATCTAGGAACGGGTGTGCAAAACAGGTGGGTTTCTTTTCTTGTCCTTAACTCCAGTGACATGTCAGCCCTCAAGCATAACCAGGAGTCAAATGAATTTCCTGGTTTTTGGTAAATTTGAAATAAAAAGAAAAGGCTGGGTGGAAAAACAAATGCAGAGCCGTTTTCACTCCAATCAGTTGCCCTCTGCTTCCAGCATGGATTTCTGTGCTTGCGTCCTCGTTTATATAGGAGGAGAAAAAGCACAGGGCTTTGCATCGCAACCAGTGGCAAAAGTCCCTCCTGCCTTCAGGAGGCCAAGGATCTCGCCTCACATTCCTGTTTCCCACAGGCTAACCAGAGGAGGCTGTACATGAAGGGTTCAAGCTGCAGCTTATCTTTTACTGTAGGACCTGCATCCCCCTGCACACCTCCAGAAACATTCCTATCTGCATGAGCCCCTCACTGGCTTTTCAGCTCCCATGGAAGCAGATGTTTGTAAAACACCATCCGCCAAGTGGAAGGGGAGCCTTCCTGCCAGACAGCCCATGTTGACAGCCCCTGTCCTCATTTGGGTCAGGGGATGTGGGGGTCCCTTGTCCTCCTCCATTGGGCAGTAACTGAGCAGAGCATCCACAAGATGGCTTATGCTTGCAATGGCAGTTTTTGTGGGGAACTCCACAGAGGAATCAAGAACATGGAATAAAACGCACTGTACAAAATACCCTTTAATTAGTTCCTCTTTGAGCTGGGGGAAATTTCTGCCAGGAACTTACCAGCAAAAAACCTTCCCTTTGGATCCACCTTCCCGTCATTGAATCTGTTGTTGGGCTTATCCTGCTCAAGCTCAAGGATGGTGGTGACCGCCTTGGTGTCCCAGTCCAGAAAGGCAAACCTGGTCCCCAGGGCGATGATGTAGCCCCCGCACTGCCGCAGTGCCACTGAGCCAACACGGGCATCTGTGGGCAAGAGGGAGCAGGAGATGGCAAATGGCTCCAGGCCTTCAGTCAGCCCTAATCCCCCATCTCACTGTGAGCATCTGGGCTTGACTGGGACATCCCTGACCCGGGAAAGGCTGAGTTGATGCTAAGATCCTTCTTCCCTGGGATCATTAGCACTCCTTGCTGGCTCTGTGCTCCCCAGATCTTCCCACATTCTGGGCAGACACAGCCATTAGGATTGTAGCTTTTCCTCTGCAGGTTCCAAATGAAACATCCCATCTGGGCTTAGCAAAAGCAACATGCACATGGCTCTCCGCACCTAAGCACAATCCCCTCTGATCAACTGGCTCAAAGCACACCGTATTCAGCAACACGTCACGGGAGGACAGGGAGTGTGACCCCACGGAAAGTAAAGGAGACCACCATGCTGTGGGACTCCTACCAGGAGGGATGGACAGGAGCAGACAGAGAAGATTCCCATGATGAAGTGATGACTATGGACTCTTACCCACAGACACGCTCTGCACCTCGTTGGTGAGAGAGCTCCAGCGGCAAACTTTCTGTGAGTTAATGTCTACATAGACGAGCGCGCTCTCCCTCTCTTCCCAAACTGGGCACTCTCCCATCCTGTTCTTCTCCTTCACAACGGATTCGATTTTGATGGAGGAGGACATGGTCTGAGGGGAAGAATGCTGATAACAGATTTAATGAAAAGCTCTCATTGTGCAGAAGTTTTATGCCTACAGTGCCTAAAGGCAGAGTTTGTAAAGGGCAAAGCCCTCCAAATCCCACATGACAAGTAATTTAGGAGGCTTCTGTGACATTTCCATGTCCTCATGGCTGTAACTGAGCTCCAGGCTCCAAGGCTTCTCCTTAGCAAACCTCTCCTAGGAAGGAGACTTCGAACCAGAGCAGCACCTGCCTCCAGACAAGGAAGTTCTGGGGATATGTCCCTGAGCCAGGACCAAGCTGTCAACCAGAGAGTGGTGATCCCAAAGCTTTCCCTGACCCATGAGAAGGGACTGTGGGCAGCAGCACTGATGATTCAGGTGACTTTTTGTGGAAAAACAAGGCTCTTCCTTGTTAACACAGATGCTCTGACTTGCTCCACAGGAAGATGTAAGCTCATATACCATCTGCAACTTGCCACTGGTGCCACTGCAGACCAAGTACCTGTTCCCACAAGGAGCCAGCGCGAATATGCAAACACCAGGGAAGGATCCTGCCTTTGAAATCCTGATACTTTCTTTTCCCTCTGAGCATTTCATCTTAATCAGCCCCCTCGCCGCCCTAGTCATGGCTCCAGCCCCTGCCACAGACTCCACATTTCACCCTGTGCCAGGCGGCAGGGTGTAATTACTCCAGCTGCAGCTTCAGGGCAAAGCCACCTATGAAGCTCTCATCCGAGGCAGCTGCTCCTGCCAGGGGGTGCTCATGTCCCATCCCTGTTGTGGCAAGGTGCCCAGAGAGACACCAGACACTCAGCCACCACCCTGGAACAGGGTGCCAGATCCCTTATATTTGTGTTCAGAGCCCACTGATGCCCTCCAAAACAGGTAGATCAGCCTCTGCCCCTGTCTCAGTGTGGGATGTGAGCAGCAGCATCCACCATTCAGCTCTTACAAAAGAAAGGGGCCTCCTCACTGCCTCAGTCACTGCTAATGGAGACACCACTGCTGCTGCACCCACTGGCCTCAGCGCATTTTTTCCACAGACCAGAGAGATATTTCTTGGGAGGCAGCCAGTCCCTGCCTAACACTCTTCCTATGGATTATTGTCTTGAAGAGGGCATTTTTTCCTAGTAGGTGAGCTGATGATATGCTCTACAATTAATTATCACTAATGCTCTTCAAAGTACTGGGAAGAGCCAGTAATCACCCTGAGTGGAAACTCCATGGCTGGGGACCCAGGATCTCCCCTGCTTTCAAACCCCAGGCATGCATAACAAGGAGTCACACCATCACGGTAAGATCCAAACAACCCATTTATCAAATATATCCTTCTCTCTTCCAAGAAAATAGTCATGAGAGGCTGGACTTAAGCTGCTCCATGCAAGAAATCAGCATCAGTCTCAAGTGTAAATGAGGATACCCAGCAAGATGCCAGTAAAACCTCATAAAACCTCTTAGGCCATGCTCAAGCTGGAGAAGCGAGTTTCTCTTGGGTTGAAGTTTTGTGTCATGTGGCTGCCTTGGTTGGGACTCGAGGCTCAGAGACACAATGCTGACTGTATTGTATTGCGGTCTGGAAAACACAGAGCGGCTCCCACCCTCATGGGAAAACAAGGTTCAGCAGCAGCCTGGCATCCACACGGCTCCACAAAGGAAGAAAGTCTCCAGATCTGCAGCAGACGGTATTTGTTTTGTTTGCTGTTTCATTGACAAAACTGAGCTGTATTAAACCTCTCTCTTCCCACCACCACCTGTTCAATTTATTGCTCCTTCTCCAGCAGCAACAATACCGGGGCCCGGCAGATAATCCGGAGTGAAACACTGATTGACAGACCCATCCTGCGTGCCACATGAGGAGTATGCAATCACATCACTGACAGCTATTTCCCAAGGCACAGGCAGAGGAGAAACCAACCTGCACGCACCAGCTGCCTGCTTACCCTTCTCATGCTCCCACCACGATGCTGCCTAGACCTGCCCTGTCCCGTGGAAACTCAGCACACATCCACCTTCCCCAGCTGCACATCCAGCCTCAGCATTTCACCCCTTCTCCAAAGGATTAGCTCTTGTATGTCCCTCCAGCTGTGGGTTCCTTTTATTTTCAAATATCTGAATATTTTGGCTCAATTTTTTAAGCAGAGGGCAACCAAAAGGGAAGATTTGTGCCTTATTGGCTGAGGTTTCACTAATTTTCACAAGCAACTAAAAAGTGAGAATTTTAACAGGATGTTCATCCAACCCTAACAGGCAGCACTGTCATCCAAAAGAGGACTCACAACTTGGCAAGGATGCAGCCCCTGTTCCCCCCCGTGCTTGGTGGCCCACTTCCTTCTTCACTTTCCCTGCTTGCACCACGTGGAGCTATATAGGAGCAGCATTCCACAGAATACAGCATCTCAGGGGGAAAAATGTGGAAATGACCACAAAAAACCCTGTTCAAAACATCCCAACTTCACCACTCCCCAAGCACTCTGCTGCCTGGCACGTTTCTGTGCAAGGGGCACCTTGCACTGATTGGTGTGCAGGGGAAAAAAAAAGAACCATTCCAAGCAGAAAACACCAAATTCTACTGTATTTTCCCCAAACAAATCCCTGTGGATAAAAACATCATCTTTACCCTGCCTATTTCCTCTCTGCTACATTTTGTTGGTGTTCTAGCCTCCTGGACTCATGCCTAAACCCGTCATGCAGGCTAAGGGGCTGATGGGTGTCACTGAAATGTTTTCCAAGTTAAACTGTTTAAAGTTACCAGAATCTGGAGACCATAAGAAAAATTTCCTTTTAGGAATGGGAAAATAATGTAAAAATATCCGGTCAGCTCTTAAAACTAAAGCCTCCTTCTGGTAGCTATTTGAAAATAGCTTTTCTAATCCTAAGTCCACATCCCTTTTCAAATGATTTGGACATAAAGTGGTCATTTCAGTACCTCTCAGATACAGGTAAAAACCAAACAAATGATTTGCCTTAACAGGTCTTTACTGTTTCTCCTCCTCTCTCCCCCATGCAAGCGCACATCATTTCATTTTTCATTTCAAGCTGAAGCAGGCAGACAGCTGAGGCTTATAATGTGCATACAGAGAAATACCCATCAGTGAAAACTAAGGAATCTTAAGAATCCGCTTCCCTTGATCAAGCAGCTGAGTATTTTCACCGAGCTGGAGGACGCCTATGCTAAACTGTGCAGCTCATCACAACAACACACCTGCAGAGGGAAATATCGCAACTCCTGGGCTGGTATCTCCTTTCCAGCACTAGTCCGATGAAACCAGCTACTGTTTTTGGCGACAATGAACAATGTGCAATAGCTGATGCTATCTGCACCTAGCAGGTAACCTTTTAGATTTTGTATTCAGCCAGCAGTCACGTGAATGATGAGGCATGGAGCAAAGCCCTTCTGAATGGTCTGGTTCCTGGTGCCAGCAGCAGAACATGTGATAGGGAAAAATCCTTGCTCAGAGTTTCTCTCATGTCATAAGAGCAGGAGAGGAAAACTGAGACATTGCACCACTCGGTCACCCCAAGGGCTAGCACACTCTCCCCAGATTTAGAGGCAAATGAATGTCTGGAGTGATAAAAAGGGGAGGTTAATAAAAGATGCAGGAGAAGGTTTTGTAGTCACTTTGAAGGATAAGGAAAAATCTACTCTTGTGATTAAAGCATATTAGCATCATTAAGATTTGGAGGTTGTTACCAGCTGTGCCACAACCTTCTTGTGTGCAAAGAAGAACCCGTTCTCCTTGCAGGGCTTCTCACCTCCTACACGCAAAGCCCGATCCGCACCTCAGTGGAGAGCTGCAAGCTGTTGCCTGCAGCACACCCAAGAAGGGCTTTGCCCCGGGACCCTCCACGATTGCCACGGATGCTGCAGGACAGCAACATCTTGCTTGGATTTAAGACTTTTTTTTTTCTTTCTTTGGCATTTGCCATTTTTTCACCTGTGAGAGATGAAGACAGAAGATGTCAAGTGCCTTCTCCAAACCAGCCCTGCTCAGCAGAGGTAGGTGATGGTGGGTACCCCCTGCAGCTGGTCCAGCAAGGTGGGGACAAGGGCAGGCTTGCCGTGGAGACAGAGCTAGTGGGAAATGCAGGAGGCAGGTTGCTGCTGCCAGTCACTGGGCTCACCATGATCAGAGAGGGCAGAAGCCACCTGGGAGGAATCAGACCCAGTCCAGCATGAGAAAGCAATGCATTTCTTTACTAATGCAAAACTTTAATGAACATGTTAATTTGATGTTCAAATGATTAACAGGATGAACATTTCTCCCAGATAAGCAAATAGCCAAGATAGACCCAGTATTATCCTGTCACAGTCACCATCGAGCCACATTTGGAGGTTAAAAAGTTACAGCCCTAAGCCAGAGACAGATTCAACCATTTCTAGCAAAAGAGGCAGTCATATTTCCAAGTTGAGCTCCTGCCAAGTCATTGCATTATGGGCAAAGTGGCTGTGAGCTCCTTGAGTACCCTTTTCAGTCTTCCTTGGCCTCCCAAGGCTCCACCTCATTTCAGCACAAACCCTGTGTCTCTGCTCGTTCCCACAAAACTTTTCACATTGTGTCGTGTTTTCCTACTTTTAACCTAAAAGATAACTTTGGAGGGAGGTTCATGTAGACCGATATCCATTTTTTCACAGCATTCAGATGGAAGGTATATTCAAAAGGGAAATTCTCATTTACTATCATTTTAACTGCTTTCACATTGAAAGACAAGTGACTGGTTCTCTGGTGCAGGAAAAAAAGGTCTTTTTTTTTTTTTTTTTCTCTCCACAAAGTATTTCTCAAGGCATCTTTTCCTAAAGGAATTTTGGCAGAGAAAACCACATTTCCCACTCAGCAATTTTTTCTGGTGACTTGACTGACTTCCCGCCACAGGCTGCGGCAAAGCAAAACCACGTCGGGCAGGGGGATAAAGCATTTGCTTTGCTGCAGCTAAAAAACCCCATGTGCTGCTTTGCTGTGGAGCAGCTCAGATGCTGGATCATCAACAAGCAGCAACACCAAGCAGGGCAGCAGCTGGGACAGTGCTACCAGAGCACGTCTCTCTGATTTATTCAGGTGGTTGCAAATGCTCTGGGAACACCCTCACCGCATTTGGCACCATCTCTTATTCCTGACCTGACCAGCATCTAGACTACCAGCATCACATCTCCCACCCCTAGCACACCACTCCAGCATCCCCTATGCCAACCTTTCCAGAGGTCAGTCACTTTAGGAGGAGACACATCTCAAAGGCTCTGTGGATGCTGCTGACAAGCGGCGCACCCCTGCAGTAGCGGGTGCATGTATTTGTTGCTGGCGAGCCCACTATTCCTGAATCATTTCTGGAACATCAAGAGCCTGTCCCTGCCATGCACTCCATTTGTTTCTAATGCTGCAAAGCAGAAGTTTACAGAGGATTTGGCCATAGGCAAGCACTGTCATTAACAGCACAAAAGTAAAATCTGAACTTTTAAAAACATCTTATTTCTTTAAACAAATCAAGCTTTGAGTATATAAGGGGAGACCTTGTAACAGTCTTCTAGTACCTAAAGGGGACTACAAGAAATCTGGTGAGGGACTTTTTACAAGGGCATGTGGTGACAGGACAAGGAGAAATGGCTTTAAGTTGAGAAATGGTAGGTTCAGATTATGTATTAGGAAGAAATTCTTCACTATGAGGCTGGTGAGGCACTGGCAGAGGCTGCTCAGAGAAGCTGTGGCTGCCCTATCCCTGGCAGTGTTCAAGGCCAGGATGGATGAGGCTTTGAGCAACCTGGTCTAGTGGAAGATGCCCCTGTCCATGGCAGGGTTTGGAACTGGCTGATCTTTAAGGTCACTTCCAACCCACACCATTCTGTGATTTATGATAAAGGCAGTGGTGCAACCCTGTACTTCTGGCTGACAACCCCACCACAGTGTTTCCTTCTGGAGTGACCTCCTCTCTCCTTTCCCACTGCTTTGGTTTCCTCTGATGCAACTCCTACCACTTCTTTTTTTGTGGTCCCTAGTTTTTATCAACACAGTGTAGCTGGGAGAGTGTATCAAAGCATTAACACACCATATATATTAATGTGGTATCTAAATAATTGTACTTGTCTTCTGTTACCCACAGGCATATATTCTGTTGCATACAGGCTCAGACAATAGCTCTGTTCCCATGGCTTTGTAAATATTTAGTAGGTCCATCACTCCCCTCTTTTTCTCACAGCTCCTCAAATCACACTTGTGTTGCTTATTCCCCTTGCGGTTCCGTCCCAGCTTTTGTTACTCTAGAAACTCAACCTTTCATATGATTTGATTGCCCTTATGTCTTAAAGTCATTCTTCACCTAGACAGAGTCATCCTCTGCCGCTGTCTCCCTCTTGGAGACGACAACAGGCATGGTTACAGTTAATGAAGACACAGTTATTAAAAACCCATGCCAGGCAGGCGCGGGTGCAGCTACTCACCCCAGCAATATCCCACTTGACAGCGCTGTCCAAACGTGAAGCCAAGGCTTATCTTCCCCTGGCTTCGCCCTTTTTGTAGGCAGGGCTTGGTCCCTCCCTGGTGCTTGAGATGGGAAGAACTGTAGCTCCCCGGGCAGTCCGTGCTTCTGGCTTTTATTTCAGCAGAGCTATGCTGCCAGCAGAGGATGACTTGAGTTTTCTCCAGTTTGGTTGGGAATAAATACTGTTCACCTATGACTATAGATTTTGGTCACGAGGGTGAAGAAATCCTTCAGGGCACAGCAGCTGCTCCTCCTAGTACAGCCTTTCCTGTCAGTGGGCTCTTGCTCAATGCTAATTGAAATCAGTACAAGTCTTTGATCAAAGAGGTGAGCTTCATTAATAAGCAAGGGATTAAACTAAAGTCAGGGAGCCTTCCTAATTGAGGGAACCGGCAACCACCCAGCTCCAGTTTGGGACTGATCCGATGGCCCATCATGGGACTTGAGTCAAAATATGCTGGCAGCACCTGTTTGGGTTCCTCGGGGCTGGGGCGCGGGAGGCAGCCAAGGCCTCGGCACTGCAGGCTGTGGTGAGGCGCGCTCCCGGGGTGTTTTCAGTAATATTAAAAATACAACTCTCCTGGCAGAGTTGGCTCTTCCTGCTCATGTGATGCCTGTGAAATCAGTGTAGTGAAGCCCAGTGGCTGATCCTACAGAGGGGAGGTGGTATTTACTTGTCAAGTGTCTGCAGAAGCTTACTGTACCTGCTCCCATGCTCACAGGCACAAAGACACACACTGCCAGCAATGGGGACAACCATAACTTCTCTGGGCAACCCGTTCGTGCCTTAATATCTAATCTTAATCTGCTGCCAATTCAAAGCCATTCCTCCTTGTCCTGTCACTACATGCCCTTGTAAAAAGTCCCTCTCCAGATTTCTTACAGTTCTCCCTTAGGTACCGAAAGGCTGCTATAAAGTATCTCCAGAGAATTCTCTTCTCCAGGCTGAACAAACCCAACTCTCTGTCTCTCTTCATAGGAGAGGTGCTCCAGGCCTTGGATCATCTTCATGCCCTCCTCAGGACTCAGTCAAGCAGGTCCACATCCTTCTTATGTTGGGGGCCACAGAGCTGGATGCAGTACTGCAGGTGGGGTCTCACAAGACCTCCCTCAACCTCCTGATTACAGTTCTTTTGCTGCAGCCGCGGATACAGTTGGCTTGCTGGGCTGCAAGTGCACATTGCCATGTTGACCTTCTCATTCAACACCCCAACTCCTTCTCCTCAGGGCTGCTCTGAATCCCTTCTCCACCCAGCCTGTATTTGTGCTTGGCATTGCCCCAGCCCAGGTGTAGGACCTTGCACTTGGCCACAAACCTCTACATGCTTTAAAGAGGAAAAATGGTGACTTGCACAAAGTTAGGTTTGAACCCTCAATTCAAAGCGGCACCACAGCCTCAGTATAACGCTGTGGTGCAGAGGCGATGCTCAGGAGGCGTAGCAGACACAAGCAGATCCCACAGAGAGAAACTAACTCCCACAGGCTTCTGGAGACGTAGCAGAAAACCATGATGTACCAACTCTTGGAGCTACCTGCAGAGAAGACGCACAGCCACAGGCTCTCTTGGCACTCACCTGGTGGGTTACCTACGCACAGCAGGGTGGGATGGATAGCTATGCCACCTGCAGGTGGAGGTGCACA